CCTTCACCTGGGGTTGAACTGGTATCTTGTAATCTGACCTGTGGAGTGTTAACCACTACACTATGGACCCACAGGTCTGAGAAAAAAAAATATTGTATATGCTTTAAATATGTTTTGTATAGAAATAGGTAAAAAGGTTTTTCTTTGATTTGAAGATTGCTTATATAGATTTTACTTGATAAAGCAAAGAGTTTGTTTAAAAAAATTTTTGTTTTTTTCAAAGCATCTATCAACTTCTTGTACCCTGCAATAAGCAAAAATAAATTTCTTTTCCAATAAAAGATTCTTGTCAACTGTTTACTATTTGCTGTTTATGTTATTATCAAAAAAAGAAATTTTTTATAAATTGGAGTATTGTAAAAAAAAGTTTTATCTATTGATAAAAAATAAAAATACAATAAATTTTAAAAAATATTTATAAAAAAATAATTGTTATAAATCTTTTTTTATATAATTTAAAAAGAAATAAAATTTTCAAACTTACTTTTTCTTAATTAAAGATTCTATTTCAATATACCAATATACTTCTTTTGTTTTCTTGAGACTTTTGTAATAAAAATAGAAAAGATATATAGGATTTTTTAATAAAAAAAAAAAAAATAATTAATTATAACCTATACAAGCTATTTCTTAAAAGGCACATGATTTGTCACATTATTAAATAAGTATATGTACCAATTATAATTTTGCACATGACCATTATAAATTTGGGCTATTACTTAAAAACTTTACGGTTACTCTTTTCTGAATTATTTGTATAATTCGCGAAAATGTGTAAGTGAACACGATTTTCATTCACAAATTTTTGGCAATAACGCGTCACTAATATAAACTTCTTTAAGCAGCAGGCTTTAATTTTGGAAACACTGCTAATAATAATAATAACACTTCGCAGTCCTCTTCGCCTTTTGGGTTCCTAGGCCAAACATCCAAATCTCCCTTTGCCGCGTCAACAAGTGCTCCAACAGGTTTTAATCCTCCGCAACAAACTGCATTTACCAGTTTTAACAAACAAGTAGCTTCACAAGCTGTAGGTGTAAGTCCAGGTTTCGGCAGTACATCTGTTGGGAGTTCTACGACACCTCTTCCAAGCTTTGGGCTTGGTAACCCATCGACGTTTTCTGTATCTTCTAGTGGCTTCAGCTCGTTTACAAAGACCCAAAGCACTGATTCTGGAAAGAGTCAAAGTCTAAATTTGTCAACTGGATTCTCTGCATTAGGAAATGCAAGAACTCAACCTGCATTTGGAGGATTTGGTAGTAATTCGTTATCAACAACTTCTGCTTCGACTCCTTTCTCGACATTCTCTCAATCTAATTCAGATAGTGAAAAAAAAGATAATAAAATCGGTTTCGGCACACCTGCAACCCCTTCTATTACGCCAAAATTTGGTAGCAATGTTTTTGCTACTGGAAATATTAGCGACTTTGGTAGCTTAGGAACTACGTCGAAAACATCTCAAGCACAAAACACATCCGGATTCTCCGGTTTTTCCGGTTTTAATAAAACTGTTACTACTGCCAGCGGCGATGCGTCGAATAAAAGTAGTACTACTCCACTAAGTGTGCCTTCTAATGGAACAGGTTATACTTTGAATGCAACAACGTCTAGCTCAAATATTTTTTCTAGAATTGGAGTTTCAACATCTCAGCCAGTCCAGTCAACTTCATTATTAAACTCATCTGGTAGCCCATTCGGATCAAGTAATGTTAAACCATTTGAAACTCTTACTACTACTAAGAAAGACACTACAGCACCAACAACAAGCAGTACATCATTGTTTGCAATACCCACTGGTAATTACATATTTAATATAATTTCATTACCAGAAAACTTATTAATGATTTTTGAAATTTAGAAGTAAACAAACCTAGTGTTAATATTCCAAAAACAACGATGCCGACGTTCTCTACGAGTGTCACATCTTCTCCGATAGGTGGAGCTGGAATTAAACCTTTTATGTCCTCTTCAACTGCTTTTTCTGCTCCCAAGCCAAGTGCCATAAGTACATCATTAACTGGAAGTTCTTCATCATCATCGGGCACACTAACGTCCATAGCGACGACAACTACATCGATTCCGACATCAGTCCCAGCTGGTGGTTCTGATCAAATACCATCTTGGCTAAAAAATAACAATATTGAGGGTATAATTAATAAATGGACTAAAGATTTGGAAAATTGTTCTAAAAAGTTTCATGAACAAGTTAAAGAAGTTAATCAATGGGATCAAAAAATTATAGAGAATAATGGCAGAGTAAATACTTATGTTCAATAACGCATGTAAATGTTACACTATTTTTAACAGTATTTAGTAAATTTATAGGTCACCAGACTCGGAGAGCAAATTAATAAAGCTGATTCGATTCAGGCTGAAATTGAGACTGGGCTAAATAATATTGAATCTCGGCAACTGGAACTTGAGAAGATCTTGTCTGAATACGAGCAAAAATTTGGCGATCCCGCTTTGGAGACATTGAAACCATTGGATAAGGAGAGGGAGAGATCGTTAGTAACTTAGTTTAATAGTTATTATTAACTTATTTTAATGATATATATTTAATTTTATCGAAATATTTCGAAACTAGTTATGAATTAGCAGAATCAATTAATCAAGAACTCGACACAATGAGTCAAGTTTTATCTGCAATGATTACAGATATGAACAGAAATACTACTTCATCTAATTTCACACCAGCATCAACCGCAGATGAGCAGGATTCAACGATAGATGAAGCAGATGAAGACCCGGTAATTTCTATATTTATATTTATATATTTATCTTGGTATATGTGACATTATGCCTTATATTTTAACTTATCCACTTAGATTGACGAAGTCGTAAAGATTTTGAATTCTCATCTGACTTCGCTTCAGTGGATTGATGCGACAGCTAATCAACTTAATGCACGTGTTCAAGAAACGCAATCATTTCTAGAACATGCAAAAGATAAATTACAAGAGAATAGGAATGGGAATATTGTCTGAAAATCGATTTAAAAACCTTTCTGAGTAAATTTAAAGGCACAAATTCAATTTTTGTTTACGTGTCGCCAGTTTGATTTACTTTAATTTATGTAACTAATCTGGCATACATAAACAACAGATTAAATAGCTTAATTTCAGATGTTATGTAATGTATAAATTCAAAATAAATAGTTTGCATAGAATTTGGATTTTTTTCAAATGTTTATGAATTTTTAAAATAACTTTTTGTGTTAAATAATAACAATATTATGGTAAGTAAAGTTACTAGTTATTCTTTTTTAGCTTAATTTATTTTTAAATATTATTCATAAAAATAATATTTTTAAATCTTGATTATTTGAAAACTTTTTTTTTTGAATAGGCATTTGCCTTTTTTAACTTTATTGGAATAGTAATTTAAGATACAGGTTATACAGTATATACATACAAAATATTATAAGAAATATTTGACTTTTTTAAATTATAAAGTAAATTCATTAGAATTGCTTTATTATATAGCTTGTTGTCTATCTGGGTAATTATTTTTGAAGGTAATTAAATACTAAATAGGATTTTTCATATTCAATTTTTAAACAGTATATATATAATATAAATTTTAGAATTATATCAGAAAATTTCTGGTTTGCCTTCAAAAATAATTATTCATCTTATAAAACAAAACATTAAAACTTTCTTAAAACAGCTAATTTGTCAAGACACTATCAATACTTTTGAAATAAAGATTAATTGTAAATATTTCTTTTATATCAAATAAGTATTTAATATATGTAATTGATTATGTATTTATTAATAATATATAAATGTTTGTTCTTGATTTTTTAATTAACAAATATATATTTTTTATTTTTTTTATTTGATATTTTTTGTTTTTTTTATAATTTTTTTTGTTTTTTTTTATTATAAAAATCTTTTATATTTTTTTATCTATATTTTTTATAAATATTTTTTGAGTTTCTTGCAATATAGTTTTAAATATTCTTATTTTTTATATATTTCAGATTATTGTAATAATTGTATATATAATTGTATTTCTAATATTAAAATTTAAAATTTTGATATTTCAAAAATTTAAAGTTTTTTAATTAATTAATTTTTTTTTTTTGCCTCTAATCAGATTGCAAGAGTTGTGTTTATTCATCCAATTTTGAAAAACAGTAGTAAAATATATATAATACTATACTAAAGTTAAACTATCACTTAATTTGCAAAACATTTGTCAATAAATTTAGATTTATACATAATTCTTGAATTCTTAATACCAAGACCATTGTGTTGCCCACATGATTTAGCTATTTACTAACTATTTCACTACAAGGAAGTAGATTCATTAAGCTATTACTGTGTAATATTAACTATCTTAGACTTTCTAAATCTAAGCTCTCTAGATGTGATCATCAGGAATAAAGAAGTTGCTCCCTTTCAAGACTAGACATCAAAAACTATGTCTTGAAAGATCTTGGCTAGCCTACATTCAGACTGTCACCCCAAATGACCCTGTGGTCCTAAAAGGTAAAAAATTTTTTATTTTTTAAAAAAAAAGAGAGAATAAGAAAAGGTAGTTGAAGAGTTTGTTCTGGTAAATAAAAACTTTCCAATATCAACTTCAATTCATTAGGATAAATCCTTTACTATCATCTGTAGCTAGATGAACTATTTAATTTCTGCTATTTCATTATTGACCAAGAACATTTAAGGACACTTCCAGAAGAGTATTTCTTGAAACTTTATGCTCGAAAACTTCTAACCTTGGGAAAAATTGATATTTTAATTGGTGATTTTTCTTTTAGCTAAATCTTCAAGGATTTATAGCTTTATTCAACTAGTGAATAGTTTCAAGACTCTTTCTCCAACTATTTTTAGAATAACTAACAATAGAGGAAGCTTGTTACTGAATTGGAATGAGACTTCTTTTGATCTTGAAGAGAAAAGAAACCAGTCCAAAAGGGAAGGTGGGAGCACCATAATACATCTTGACAAAACTAACACCTTGTTACCTTACTCTTTTCACTATGTCCAATGACATTATCAGATTTATTATTGTATAAGATAAGA